CTTTCCCCGTCCAGGCATCGGTCGAGCTACTGCCCTCTCCTTCCTTCGCGAGGGAGCCAGCCTGGTTGTGGCGGTTGACATCAACAAGGAGAAACTGCAAACACTGGAAGGAATCCCAGGTAATGATCGTGTGTGTGTGTGTACCCGTGTGTGTGTGTGTGTGTGTTTGTGTGTGTGTGTGTGTGTGTACTTTTTTTTTGTTTTTGTCTTTTGTTATTGATTGGTAATTGTATTGATTCTACTAATATTCGTACTCTTGCTATTACTAATACTGTTTTTATTATTACTGCTATTACTGTTAGTGTTATTTATACTCTTACTATCAGTGTTACTCTTAATATCACTCTAACTATTGCTGTTATTATGCCGTTGTGGGTTATACCTTCAGAGGATATTTCTCATCTCTCTTTCGAAAGGTATTGTGACGAAGAATCTTGATGTTCGTGATGGAGTGGGCATTCGGGCGTTGGCACAGGAGTTTAGGGACATTGATGTGCTGTTCAACTGTGCTGGGTGAGAATTCTTTTTTTTTTTTTCATGCGTTGGGAAAAGAGATATTAGATGTGGAAGGTAGACAGGAGAGAGAGAGAGAGAGAGAGAGAGAGAGAGAGAGAGAGAGAGAGAGAGAGAGAGAGAAAGAGAGAGAGAGAGGGAGAGAGAGAGACAGAGACAGAGACAGAGACAGACAGAGAGAGAAACAGAGAGAGAGAGAGAGAGAGAGAGAGAGAGAGAGAGGCAGACAGAGACAGAGACAGACAGACAGACAGAGAACGAAAGAAAGAAAGAGAAATAAGGAGAGATGGAAGGGATAAGAAAGAAAATGACTGACAGACGGGCAGACAGAGACAGAGGGAGAATTTAAGACCCATTTTACAACCCGCAGGTACGTCCACCAGGGCTGCATTCTCTCCACCACCGAAGAACAGTGGGACTTCAGTTTTGATGTCAATGTGAAAAGCATGTATCACTTCATCCAGGCTTTCCTTCCTTCGGTAAGTTCTAGATTTATAGAGTATTATTTAACGATTTTTATTCCTTATTTTCGATGGATAGTGTTATATACGGTATACCTGTACTTCAATGTAACGCGTTTGTTAGTTTTTTTATCGTCATAATCCCTAGTTATCGTTGTTGTTGTTTTTTTATGATATTTGAGTACCTATTTACTATTCATTAACAAACTCTCTACTTAATTAATCTTTATATCGATTACTTGACTTAACCAATCATTGCTTCATCTTCCCACATCTCCCATTTTAATCAATCCAAATCTATTATCATTCCCCCACTCACTTTATCTGAACGATCCCTTGAACCTAAGCTCCAAAGGAAATGAAACCGACTCATTGAACCCAACAGATGCTCGAAAAACGCAAAGGTTCAATCATCAACATGTCCTCAGCCGCCAGCACATTAAGAGGCATTGAGCAGAGGACAGTCTACGGTGCAACCAAAGCGGCTGTTATAGGCCTGACTAAAGGGGGTCGCAAGAGACTGTGTGCGCAACGGAGTGAGGTAGTATTAATTAGGATGAGGATGTATGTAATTATGTGTGTATGTGTGTTTACTTACATGATATGGCATTTTGTTTATATACACACACGCAAGCCTAGAAAAGGCGAAAAATCAGATAAATACTTTAGTCAACTAATTAACACACACACACACACACACACACACACACACACACACACACACACACACACACACACACACATATTAAATATATCTGTGTATGTGTTTGAGTGCATGGTTAAGGGTTAACATTAACAAAGAGTAGACGTGGTATATTCTGGCGATTGCAACGTAAGAGTCTGGGAACTAATTACATCCTACGATCAGTACTTCAGATAATCAATTTGGAGTGGTTTTCTAGTAGATTACGGATCTTTTAAGCCTAACAACGGGGAAAATATTTAGTTAGTGTTATAATACAATTATATGGAGCGTCAAAAAGCTGTTTGCTATACTTAATTCAGGTGAAACGAATAAAAATATATTTGTTTAGCAATGCGGTAATAATGTATCTAGTTTATATACTTCCATTACACTACGTATTTCTATGTGAAAGAGAATTGGATAAATGAGCAACGCATATGTAAATAGAAATTAAATAACACAAGAGAGGATCTAGTTTATCATACCACTTTACTTTTCCAGATGCAATGTGGTTTGTCCAGCTCCGGTAGCCACAGAGAGTTATAAGGAACGTTGCCAAGACTTAGAAGATTCGGACAAGGTGAGTCAGTGTATCCAAGTCCAGGGAAGCGAATTCGGATAAGTGAATGCGGATGAGTTTATCCGGATGATTGAGTATGCATGGGAGGGCATCCGGATGAGGTTATTTAAGTGGGTGTCATTCTGCTAAGGATGTTAAGGATGAATATAGGTGAATGTTTTCAAGTGGGTATATTTAGCGGAGTGCATTCAGATGGGAGGATTTAGGCGAGTGGATTTATATAAGTGGATTAAGATGACTAATCAGATTTAGTAAGGTAAATTGAAAGAGAGAGAGAGAGAGAGAGAGAGAGAGAATGACAGAATTTTATTGACAGATGAGTGCATTCAGATGGGAGGATTTAGGCGAGTGGATTTATATAAGTGGAATAAGATGACTAATCAGATTTAGTAAGGTAAATTGAAAGAGAGAGAGAGAGAGAGAGAGAGAGAGAGAAAATGACAGAATTTTATTGACAGATGATAAAAAAAAAACAGACAGACAGCAAGCACGCCGACAGAAACGCACAACAGATATACATTACCAAATCTCTCTATCCAATAGGACCACATCGAGTACATCGAAGGGAAATTGATGGGACGTTTGGCAACACCGGAAGAGGTTGCCAACCTTTGCGTCTACCTGGCGTCCGATGAGGTGATTGATTATTTTTTTGGCTCTTACGTTTTTCTAAAATTGGTATTGAATTATATTGATTATTGATGACTGTTTGGCTGTAGAAGAAATGAGCGCATTGACTGCATTGTGGATATTTGTAGAATATTGCAACATATTCTTGTATTTTGTCCAAGCAAAATGGCCATGATAAATTGAAAGCTTTCATGGTTCATGTAGTATTTTATTTTATTTATTTATTTTTAATCTGCAATGCTATACTTTATAATTATATATATATATATTTTTTTTTTTTTTTTTTTTTTTTTGTGTGTGTGTGTGTGTGTGTGTGTGTGTGTGTGTGTGTGTGTGTGTGTGTGTGTGTGTGTGTGTGTGTGTGTGTTTTAATGATCAAAGTATTAATTGTCATTTCTCCTTTTCTAGGCTTCCTACCACACTGGCAACGTTTTTACAATTGACGGTGGGTTTTGTCTCTAAAATCAATGTGGAAACTTACGAGTGGAAGATGAGCATTGAAAAAAAATCAGACACAAATAAAATGGATCACCTTATTAAATTCTCACTGACAAAGTTCTGCTGAATGGGTTTTATTTTCTCCATCTCAATTTCTTTTTATGTTTTTATTGTGACTTTTTTTTGGAAGCTTCAACTACCTCCCCTAGTTACCATATATTTGAACACCTGCAGGACTAACCTGTGCTGACCTGCTGAGGTTGCTTGTCTATGAGGGCCTATCAATTATGTCACTAATCCTAGACAAGAGATCGAGCAATAATTAACCAGGTGGCCTTTAGTGAGGTCCAAGTGTCTTCACGAGATACTTCTACATCTTTGACATCAGACCAGAAAATGACTGTCTATAGCACTTAAAGCTCAAATGAAGTCCTTCCAGATATATAACTAACATGAGTAGACCTCTAGAATCAGTCTAAAAGCCCCATCCAAATGTATGCCTTCCAGGCCCAAGTCATAGGCAAATCTGTAATCCCAAAATTGACATCAATTCACACAATACTGATTAGGAATTTCAGAAACTTTGTGGTTCATCTGTACTCAGAATAGGATGTAAACAAGACAGTATGACATTATGTCTTATGGTATCCAAAAGCTAAAAACAGTAATTCAGAAAATCTCCAGCATTTATACATAGAATACATGGTACCAATTGAAACTTTTCCTAGTGTCAACATCAAATATAACTGCCAGTGTTCTGAATGGCAAAACAGACATAACTTTACATCAGTTCTAACACACAAATAGTACAAAAAAAAACAAAGAACATGGTGATTTTCAGGTTCAAGACCTACACTAAAAGCCTAATCACTTTATACTAGCTTAAATTTTTTAACCTAAACTGTGTAATGGAATAGGCAAATTCTATCCATTGACCTGCCACTGCTCGGCTACTAAGATGTTGAGTATCATTGGCATATAGACATATTGATGCTGGGAGTGTATGTATACATGCAATGTGGTTTTGTCTTGTTAGTTCTGTTAACACATAAATGGACCTACAGGCAAATTCTATCCATTGACCTGCCACTGCTTGGCTACTAATGGAACAGGCAAATTCTATCCATTGACCTGCCACTGCTTGGCTACTAATGGAACAGGCAAATTCTATCCATTGACCTGCCACTGCTTGGCTACTAATGGAACAGGCAAATTCTATCCATTGACCTGCCACTGCTTGGCTACTAATGGAACAGGCAAATTCTATCCATTGACCTGCCACTGCTTGGCTACTAATGGAACAGGCAAATTCTATCCATTGACCTGCCACTGCTTGGCTACTAATGGAACAGGCAAATTCTATCCATTGACCTGCCACTGCTTGGCTACTAATGGAACAGGCAAATTCTATCCATTGACCTGCCACTGCTTGGCTACTAATGGAACAGGCAAATTCTATCCATTGACCTGCCACTGCTTGGCTACTAATGGAACAGGCAAATTATATCCATTAACCTGCCATTGCTCGGCTACTAATGGAACAGGCAAATTATATCCATTGACCTCCTAGTCACAAGGGAATCACCTGACCTTACCTATTTACCTCAACCCCAGTATTTTTAGAAAGAGATTTATACTTTTATTAAGATTATCACTGATACTAATCTATGAAGAAGCTAAGAATAAAAACAGACACAGGTAATATAACATTTTATTGACAAAAGTATTAAATACCTTCCAGAAGATAAAATACAAAATAAAAAGTAAACTTTCCCACCGACTAAAACATTACCAAGTCACTCAAAGGATTAACATTCCCATATGCAAAATGGTGATTTTAATCGTAATGTGCCCATCAAAATGGTCATATACGTGTGAGAAGGAAACTGAAATTCATACTACTTGTATCAAAAATTATGGCCAAGTGAAAACAGCACTGCAAATAATTGTAACAATTACATCTCCATCAGAATCACATTAATCTGACAAAGACGTACCATAGAAACACTAATTACATATCCTTTGTTCTCGAATTATTCATCCTCATTCATATTTCTTATACATCTGTCATCTTAAACAGGGATATGGGTTATATTTACTACACCATGGTTTATGAAAACTTCCATAGAAACCTTCTAACTGCATTATTATCAAATTACAAAAGAAGAAAAAAAAAATCTTACCTAAATATATACATTTTATGAAAAAGCTAAATATTTTTACACAGCACTATTTACAAGCTGTAGATAATATGTCAGTAAACGTTAATACTACTTTATACAACTTCCTTTCAGTGTTGTCAGATTATTCAGTGAATGCCAAAATTATGGCAATGAACATCTATATAAAAGACAGAACTTATCACTTGACAATGTTAATGTTTAAAAAAATTCCTTAGAGCAACAGTGATTCATACTGATATGTACTACAGTTAGTTCATGTCATGAATTTACTAAAGGATATTCTCGCAAATATATGCAAATCCGTCCTCCCAGACACACATAGGGCAGTGATACTTTCCATCCTTATATCAAGTTCAACTTTCCCTACATTTAAATAAATAGTTTACATTATATGCATCCATATTTCAATTCGTAAACAGTATATTGCACATCTCTTCAAGAGCTGTTGCAGAATCACTTCTGTTCCATTTTCTTTTGAAAATATTACTTATCTGTGCAACACACGTAGGCATATTTTGTCTCTCATGTATAAAAGTGATCACACAGCTAGCTGTATAGTAGTACATTACATACATTATATTAAGTATAGCACATGTATGCGTAGTCAGTGAGTGCCCAAGTTTAAGATTATGTATCTGGTGTACTCTCTATTGTTATTCTAATATGAAATTTCACTATTTACAAATAAAACATTAAGCATTGCAAGGGACTACCAACATATATGCAGAGAATCTTTCACTAAATGGAAGTTCAGTGGAGAATTGATATATCTAAATCTTGAATCCTTCTGCATACAGGAGGATCTATTTTTTTTAAAGAAAGGACTAACTGAAATAACATGGTTATAAAAAAATATATATATTTTGACATACACTGACTAAAGAATTTGAAATTCAATCCTAATAAACCTCATGAAAAATATAGTTAATTCTTTTTTCTTGTAAATGCCACAAAATTATAACATGATTTACAAAATATGAAACCTTTTTCCTAGTTCATTTATTTTTCCTTTTTACATCCAAATGGATAAAATTATTAAGGAATCTGAATTTTGTACATATATATAATTTTACCCTGTATCAAAATACCCAAGGGAAAAGAAAAAAAAAGTACATAACTCAATTACCTTAATTTTCATTGCTATTTACAAGAAACTATATATTAAAGCCTTCATATTTCATCATGTTTTGTCTATCAGGTGCTTGCTACAATAGTTCAAAAAATAATCTTCACCTACTTTAAAATGCAAAAATTCCATGTACCAACATAAACAATATGTTAACTGAACAGTGTATTATTGTCACTTCCTTGTAAAAATTTTCCTCTTAAAAACAACAGCAGATGAAGATCTCACTTCCTCTACTTCATGTGGTCTTTGCCCATCCGCAGTGAACTGTTTGCCAACAGTAATCGAGGCTGGGGAAGAATCAAAGGAGAATAAGTGTGATTACTTAAATTTTACTATAATGCATATACATACCCATACATATACATATACGTATACATATTTATGTATATGCAGATGTATCTACCTATATGTGTATGTGTTTGTGTATATGTATGTATTCATATTTATATATGTATATGGATATCTTTATGTATGTATTTGTATGTATGTGTGATATATATATATATGTATGTGTGATATATATACATATATATACATATATGTACATATATATATACATATATGTACATATATATATACATATATATACATATATATATACATATATATATACATATATATATACATATATATATACAAATATATATCCATATATATATACATATATATATATATATACATATGTATATACATATTTATATACATATATAAACATATATATATATATATAAAAAGCTTTTCATCTCTTAAATTATCATTAATACACCAACCTCCATCCAGAGCTGTTGTGTAACCCTCCTTACCTTTTTACTATCAAGCTTTTTCTCGTCCTTTCTTTTGTGCCACTTAACGTTCCCCAAGATGCTGTAGGCATGACTTGACTGTTCCATAGAAGTGATCTGCTTGTGCTCTCTCTTAGGGCCCTGTGGCTTTGGGCAGGACGGAGCTTTGAATGTCTCACTCGGCAGAGAGTCGTCACTGTCATCTAGTTCCCAGAAGCTTTTCGTGGTTCTCCGTACCTGTAAGTGAGGGAAAGCTTGAGGGATTGAATCATTTTTCATGTGATAATAATATAATACAGCTGTTTTATTTACACTACTTTTACACAAATTTTTGATAGTTGAAAATATTAAAGTTTTAAAGAATCCATCAAACAACTTTAACATCATCCTCTTGAATTAATTTGATATAAGTAGCATGGACACGAAAACTTCTGTTTTTCTATCTTAAACAGTTCTCAGCATTTTGCCTTGACTTAAACTTTTAATACTAATTACATAAATTTTCATTTCAAACAAGATTCATATTAACAACACATTTGCACACACATGCACGCACACACACTCAATAATTCATTATCTTTCTTTATTTCTTTACTTCTGACAGATATATTACAAGGTAAATATGTATACTAGAAACTAAAAAATGTACTGCATTTGAAGGCATGTGTGTCCAAAGGTGTTCTCTGACCAACAGTCCAAAAATGAGTTTATTATATGTTTTTTTTTTAGTTTAAACATATAACACAAACAAATATGTTCACTTTAATCCCATGGTGTCCAGAAAATGTAACGTTTACCGTAGTTTTGCTTTGTGAAATGTCTCTACACATAGATGACTCCACAAGTGCTGGAAGGAGTCAATTGGTAGACCTCATTACATCACCTACTTCACAGTTCCTTAATTTTTTTTTTTATTATTATCAACATGGATGGTGTTATTATTATTATTATTGACATTATAATTATTGTAATGCTATCAACATTACTAATAGCAATACAAAATCAAAGAAAATATTTCCAAAAATCAAGGTTAATACACTATGAGTGTGTTAACACATTTCCCTCAAAGTCAGGAATTATTCCTATCCCACCTAATGCGGAAGCTTCAAAACTTTACCACACCATTTTGATGCCGGTCAGCATCGTGAAACTGGGCTTATTTTGTTCCACTATGGCCAAGCAGTCACTCAATAAAACTAAAAAATGTGACTCACAGGTGGCGCAAATCGTGCTGTAAAAATAAGTTTCTCGTCTGAACATGTAATGTACCACCCGTGAACCACATTGGGAGTAACTACGGATGACCCATGTTGCGCTGGGGATATAAATATATGTTTTGTGCATGCTGTGTACCATCCATGGCCCACAAGAAGTGATACCCCTGGCAGACCACTACACAAGTATATCATGACCCTATATTTACATGGCAATCACTACTTTATTAACTACTTATATGTTTTCCTGCATGTCCTGTGTATTTATTGGTACTATTTTGTTCTTATAGTCAATGGATACTTAGTGGTTCTATGGAGCTGGAACAAGTGGAATTAATGCTAATAACAGTGACTCTTCTGATGATGAATTCAATTATACTTAATATGGAGAGTTTGGCAGGACTAAGGATGATTCTTTGGAAGATGAAGAAGTGGATGATGAACAGATCAATCATGGGAGAAGAATGAATGACAACAAAGACAACAAAAACAGTTACAGCAATTATAATTTGGAGCAACATAAATTCAGTGACCAAAATGGAAGAAATTTTAGCAAAACTTTTATGGGAAAGTAAATCATTTGTTTTATGGAAGTAGAATTTAGGAAAATTTAAACTTTCAGTTAAAAATTAAATGAATTTGTTTTGCAGTTTCTTATGTACAAATATTTCAATAAGTGTTTGAATAAAGAGAAAATAACATCAAGCAATAATATTTTTAACATATTTACTATCAAAAATAAGAAGTCACATAGAGAGAGGGATATTAATACATTCTTTGTTTCTTTCAATTAACACTGTTTTGAAATAATGCTCTTTATACATCTTTATAAAGGAAAAAATATTACTTAGATAATTACGCTCATGTGTGCATAAACAGTGCATATAGTAAAACTTTATCTTCTCCCATTTTTGGACCAACAGCTCATTATATGGGGATCATATTAATGAAAATATATTAATGCTTATGTTACTGATGAAAGTTTTAAAATATAAAACATCCGATAAACTTGTTTTCCAACAACTGGTCTGTGAAAACCTTTGGATGGGATGCATCTTTTCTCAAAACTGTGTCTGTTAAAGACTGTTAGAAAAGTTTAATTTACATTCTGATATATGTCATGTCAACTGTAATTTTAGTTTATGAATTTTGTTTACACAAAGATGGTTCCAGAAAAGAGAGAGAGAGAGAGAGAGAGAGAGAGAGAGAGAGAGAGAGAGAGAGAGAGAGGGAGGGAGGGAGGGAGGGAGGGAGGGAGGGAGGGAGGGAGGGAGGGAGGGAGGGAGGGAGGGAGGGAGGGAGGGAGGAGAGAGAGAACAAAAGTACAGTGGATTGTGCTTCTATGCATATACCCGGAGCTATTTGTTAAAAATCAGAAACTTAAAAAAAAGAGTATGTAGGTTCCAGTATGAGGGGCCATGATAATATAAAAATGTATATCTTTATGCATGATGCTCAATACTTACAGCAGATTCATTTTGTAAGTTGCTGTCAGCTGCACTCACTGCAGTGGGTCTATTCACCTGCACGGTCTGTGAAGAAGTATAATTTCAACAAATGCATCAAAATGCCAAATATGCATATAAATACAAGTTAAGAGCTAAATCTATATACATGTACCTGCTTACTAATGCATTTAGAATGAAAATTAGAATAATTTAAGACATTCACTAGGAATTCTTGCAGAGCTAAAATTCCTCTACAAATCTGTTTTACATCCCAGTTATATCTCAGATACTTCAGAATAACATCAATAAATTAAATCTAAAGAAAAGAAAAAGGACTTTAAAATATAATATTTATCAAATAGTAATAAGCCAAAATCTTTACCTATTTTGTATGTATGAATTCTAAATCTGAAAATAAACTAATCAATAACAATAATTACTTCACAAACTTACCTGATCTGAAGTGTCTCTAAACTGTTCCCTAAGCTTGATGACTGTGGTCAGGGAACTGTGGAAAGGCCCAACCACCCTTGACGACCTCTCCACTGTCAGGAGAGTCGTCTCCTCATCAGAACTGGAACTTTGCTCCATCTGGTCAGTCAATGATGTCACTGGCTTCTTGACATTGTAGAGCTGGAGGAGCTTCGACTGTTCCGCCTCCCTGAGACTCTCTTCTGCATTTCTTCTGTTAACCTTCTGAGAGTCATGAGGGAAAGCCTGTGGTTTGGCAAACTTTTGAGGGTTCTGTTGCATTCCTCTCATGGCCTCCTGTGTCGAATGCTCTGGCACCGCACCGGGTCCCCATCCCTCCTGCTTTCTAGCTCTGTCATTCATTTTCCCCATCGGATGGATCACAGAGAATGTGCTGTCTTCCACGATGCTGGAGAGTTCCACTGTGCTGTTTCTTGCTATCATGCTACTCCACTTAAGTAGCATGGAATCAGAGGCTTTATGACCTATAGGTTTGTGACCCATTGACAAGCTTTTCCGTTTTTTCTTAACAGGGTCAATACCAGCTATAATACTCTCCTCTTGCTTTGAATGCCACATTTTCTGCTGCCATAAATTTCCAGGTATGTTGCCCAGGATACTCCCAGTTCTCTGTCTTTCATTAATTGTAATTTCTGAATTGTTCTTCACACCCTCTGGTGGTAAATCTTGGGAGCAAATCTCCTTTTCACTATCCATCTTGTACTTGAAAACGATTCGGCCATTACTTAGCAACACTCGACGAATTTTGGGCCTCTGCCTCTTGGAGTCCAAATGAGGTTCAGTTTCGTTATCTATCGAAGTAGATGTCAGATTTGGAATATTTTCAGAATTTACAAAAAGAGGATTATTTTCTTTGTCACTGCTGGCTAAACATGCATTAACATTTTCTCTACTGAAATTTTTATCATTCCTTTTTTTTGAAGCTACTTCATTGACTGCTTGCATGTCTTCTTTTAATGGCTGCAAGAATTCAGGCACACTAGGCACCATTGCAAGTTCTTGCTCTTTATATCTAGCCTTTTCTTCTAACTTTTCTTCTTCAGAATGGAATATGTTTTCCAAGCTATTTCTCAACTGTCTGGGCACTTGATCTGAAATAGACCTTTTTCTCATTTTGATGTCTGTTTCTGGTACTGTAGAGGAAGTCACAACATGAGATTTTGACTTTGGTCTACCCCTCCTTCTTTTCTGGTGATCTTCTGAGGATGGCTGTGTATTTTTCCCAATGGTGTCAGGAGAGGGATGAGTTGTCTCCCCTCGCTCAGAAGGAGGCTCGTGTTGCTCTGGTGTCTCTCGGCTCTTCTCGGTAAGCTGACTGGATAAAGCAGATATTCTTCTTGACCTTCTTCTCTCTTGTGGCAAATTATCTACCCTCTCTTCTCCGGAAGATTTTTCCTTTGAAGTATTTTGTACATTTCTTTTACGTGTTCTTCCATCTGAGTGAGCATCCGAGGTTTTGGGATCACATACGGTGTGGCATGCAGTCGCCTTTGCTGCAGGCACTGTCTTCTCCTTTTTCTTATTCCTCACTGTTTTGTCCTTTTCGTTGTGAGTATCTTTCTCAGTCTGATTTGCGCTTTCATGGTATCTGGAAGTCTTCCCTGAGGTCTTTGTTGTTTGTTTTGTTTGTGTTTCCAAGTCTGCATCCTTCATGGTCAGACATGTGGTAGTTTCTCTAATATCTCTGTAGGAATCCTCTCCCTGAGCATCAATGTCCTTTCCACCCAAGTAGCTGAAATGGAAGGCCACCACATGTTTTCCTAATTTCTGCTCTATTTTCATTAAGGTTTTCTCTCTTTCCTGGGATGTGAAAGGTGGAATAAAGACTGTATCCAGCATATCTGTGACAAGAAGAGCCCCGTGATCAAGCTCCTCCGGCAAGACCGATGCAAGAGGCCCATTCGTGCATATTTTTTCTGGCTCACTTGTACTCTTTTCTTTCTCCTTTTCCACATTCGTGATTTGTGTGCGATGGGTCTTGCTGCTAGTAGTCCCACCCGACACATGGCTCTGAGTCTTCTCATTTACTGCAGGTTCCTTTAGAACATTCTCCCTGCTTTCCTCATCATTTTTATAAGCATTCTTAAACAAAACTTCTTCATTCAAGGAGCTGCAAAATCGGTTCCTTCTCACAGTCCGACTCTGGGTCTGAGTCTCCCCTTTCAAAGTTTCCTTCTTCCTTTCTGCTCTATTCCCTTTCCTCCTCCAGCCTTTGACTTGCTTGCTGGAAACAACATCCTTGATATCTTCATCTTCAACTTCACTAAGATCACTATCAGACTCCAAATCAACTTCTGTATCTTGGACTTCTCGCACATCATAGTCATCGGGCAGCCCAAGCTGGGACTTCCTTCTTTGCAAGGTTTCCTGCACTTCCCTCTGAATATCTTCTTCAGTGCAGCTTTTGGGAGGGAGTGCAGGTTGAGGCTTGGGGGAGAGCTTCCTCGTTTGGCTGAAAGTCATTTCATTGGGCTCATGATCCTCCAGGTACTTCACAAGGCTCTGCTTCTTCTTGTTCCTGCCGCCAAAGCACTCCTCAATGTCTGCGTCAGGGGCTGGCAAACCATTGGCTAGGCAAATGTACTTGTCAATTATGAGGGACATAGCTGTGTTAGCAGATTCCACAATAGATGTATAGAGTTTTTCCTCAGCATGATAATAGTCATCAGCAGGTACCTGTTTCTGAAATACAAAAAATAAATTAATAACATAGACCAATTAACTGAGTGAGCAAGAGAAAGATCCAGACATTATCTTAAAACATTTTCTCCTTAACAAGCTTTACAGTTTTATTCTAATGGTAACAGAGACACCCATGGAGACCTTATTGTCACTGGTACATATCTTAGTAGTCGGGCATTTAGAAGTTTCATGGACAGACTCTACAAGTTTTCACTTGGGGAAAGTAAAATAGTAGAAACCAAAAACACACAAATTACCATATGATAATGAAATACCTGTGGAAAAAGCTCTACAACAAATCTTAACACTTCACAGTTCCAGATCAGTTATTTGTGATTTATTATTTACACTCATTAATCCTACTGTTTTATTTTAAACATTTCTCCACAGACAATACACAAGCATCCTGTTAATGTTTAATGCCTTTTCTAATTATCATAATAAGACTTTGATGCATTAAATATTACTATAATCACTTGATTCCTTTAAGAATTATTTCTATTACTTCAAATATATAAGCTTTGAAAGGCATCACACAATCCGATAACAAATACTAATCTGTGAGCATAAAAATATATTTTAAATGTTAAAACAGATAGCTGAAATAACAAATTAACAAGCATAAAGAGATTAATGATGTTGATGAAAAATGTTGCAGAATGTGAAAGCCTGTATTATTGTTGTATCAAATTCCCACAATACAGTGATAAATCACAGATAATTACCATAAAGGTATAATGAGTCACTGGGAAACCAAGAAATAAGGAATTAATTTAGAAAAAAAGTGATGGAGAGATTATCAGAGGCTACAATGTAAAATAAATTGAATGTTGTTTAGTAGAAAAGTAGAAAAAAAAAATGATAATAAATAAAAATCAGAAGCACATAATACTACAGGTTCATCACATCTATAAATGATGATAAATATGTTTATAATAATGAAATTACTATATTTACAGAAATGTGTTGTCTATTGACTAGTTTTACAAGAATTCCAGTCGTGTGTGCACGGTGTGGAATTCTCACACAACCCACAGAAGGGCAGAGTGCATGACCGATATGCAGCAGTGCCTTGTGCCAAATCTGTCAGACACTCTCTCCTAATATGAATATATGGAAGATTCTTTTTCTTGATTGTGGGTTTAGGGTTTAGGGGGTGGGAGAGCCAGCAGGAGGCGGGTCACAGGGGGAAGAGTCTTCTGCATTAGGCAATATAGTGACTGATTTGGTACTGTGATTACAGCAGAATTCAAGAATTCCCCACTGAGCACACACAACCGCAACTCCCTGAAAAATAGTCAATAGATATTGCATTATGATGTCATAAGTGTAGCCACAGCCTAATAATAAAGTCAGATGAAGTATATATAATGAATGCACTGAGACAGGGAAAATTTGGTGAAAATCTAATAACTATACTCACGGATACATGAAATAATCTTCGCAGGCAAAGAATAACATTAGAAATTAACAAAATTTGTTGAAATAAATGCTGTGCAAAGAGTAGGTCCAATGCATTTGGGTGGGGGTCTAGATGCTAGGCCTCTGATGGGTATTATGGCTATTTGGTGGGGGACTAGGTGGTGAAGCTACTGGGTTTGGAAGGTTTTTGGTACATACAGATATGAGGATTAGTAAGGTCTTGGTCTCAGTGTGGTCATTTCACAAACAATTACAAAATACATCCACTTCCACATTATTTGCAACTGTGAAAACCTCAGCAGCATACATCATTCATTAGCAAAAATACCCATTAATTTCACTATATATGACATCTTTTAAATTGTTCGGGCAATAAGTAGTATAAGGTAGTGGCAGAGTTGGGTAATAAAACCTACATGAAATGGTAGAACAACACACACCAAGACAAAGTTCTTCTATGGCAATATGTGTGCAAATGCTTCCCAAGGCTGCTATACGTAAAAGAAAAGAGAAGATTCCCCAATTTTGGCAAAATCGTATAACTTGTTTACATTGCAAGGGTGAATTCTAGACGCATATACTATCACAGGGGTCCTAAGTGAATATATTACCATGGGGGTCCAGGGGGTAGAGCCCCATGGCTAGGGAATATATACCACGGTGTTAGGTTAGGTTGGATGTTGGGTTAGGATGATTTGTTTAACCACTTGATGACGGGTTAAGAAAACTAAAAAAACAACTCTACGCTCTGGCAATCGATGGCAGCACTCTGACTTTGAGCGCAGGAGTTCGGTACATCAACTGCTCACTTCGCTTTGGTGCGCCGCCATGACATACAGCCGCATGCCACAGATCGAGCGGTTTGTTTACACGCCTCATAGCTTGACCCGTTGGGAAGGGGTTATCAACCATGGAGGTCCTGTTTTACCCCATAATTTCCCTGTTATACTTCATGCCCTCCCCCGCTAATGGGACTATC